CCCCTCCCGGTAAGGCTCCCCGCTCCCCCCGGCGCTCCCGCCTCCTATCTTTTAGCCAAAATCCCGCCCAAAGGCATGTCTGCCTGGCACTGGTGCAACGCCCCCTACCCACGCCCTCCGGGCTCACAGTCCCCCGCTCCGGACTCCAGAAAGCTGTCCGCCTAGCGTCCGCGGACCGCCGAGTTTCCGCGGGCGCCACCAGGGCGCTTAGGCGGACCCTGAAGGGCCCGCAGGCCGCCCCCGCGCTCAGCCGAGACTCGGCAGTGCGCGACGCCTGGGCACTCACCCCGCGGGCGAGGGCAGGAGGCGGCGCAGCGGGCGGCAGCGGCAGCCTGGCCTCGCACTCAGCGCTCACGGCTGTTTTCCTCGTCCCCACTTTTCCTGGTGTACCACGATGGGCGCCAGTGCAGGTGCCCCAAGCTCCGTACTTCCCCGAGGCCACCACGCTGTGCCCCCCAGAAGGATCCTGGCGCGCGGCGCATACACTGACTCCAGCGGAGGACACGGGGGGTCCTTGTGCGGTGTTCTCCTTCCAGGCGACAGCAGTGCTGCTGGACGGGGCTCTAGCCTTGGGCTGCAGGTCAGACTTTCAGGTTAATCACTAGCCCCGCTCCAGCTTTTCCTCTGCCGCACGATGAAAACCTCTGTTTCTTCCTTCCTCGGTCCCCACTCCCTGTCCGCCTCTTGGTGGCACGGAGTGGAGGATGCGAGGCGCAAGCAGGGGCGACGGGAGTGTGGTGTGTGTGCTGGAGCGTGTGATCAGCTGCAGAGCCGCGCTAGCCCCGCCTGTCTCTGCCTTCCCCCGCTGCTCCACCAGCCTGAATTGCACCTCCGAGCCTCAGTTGAGCCTGCAGTGTCTGGCAGCTCAGGAAAAGTGAGCCCCTCCAATGAGAAGCGGCTCTAAATCTGCTCCCAATCGCCAGCCAATTCTCCTTCCTCGCCCCCCTGCATCAGTCAGAAAGCCCCCAGCAAGCAGCAAATGCTGATCTCCGAAAGGAGAGAAGTACAATATGTCTCTGTAACTAAGGCTCTCATTTAAACGGATGCCTGGATTTGGGGATGCATCATAAACAGATCCCAGCTGGCTCCGAGATGGGCATATTCAGAATTCAAAGTTGCAAGAAGCATTGGGGGGCTTAGGATGGGAGCAGAAAGGAGGGGAGACACTAATAAGAAAGCCCCCGATCCTTTATGAAAATGGCTCTATGACAAAGTCTCAGAATACCTAGAGTTAATGTGTGGCTGTAATAGAGGGAAGAAAGCTGGATTTTAATGGCCCTGGCAGTTAACTTAATGAAGGGGCAAAGTGCAGAAATAGCTAATATAGTGCCCGTGAGTAAATACCAGCTTATTTACCACATTTCATGTGTGTTTTAAAATGCCATGGTATCTTACGGCATATTCCATTCAGTCCAGATACATAAAGTTGATTTTGTTGGAAAATCATCAAATCATGGAATTATAAAAGCAAAACGTTGCTGTAAGACTCCCACTCGAAGAAAAATAAGTGCATAATCACTGTTTCCGTTCTCTGCCAATAGCTACTCCCTTCTACCTCCCTAACCCTAAACCTTAGTGCTGGCAAGTGCATGTCAACTTGTCAGCCATAAGCAGAAACTCTCACTACCATTTGGTTAAAACATCTATCCCAGTTACAGATGCCTGTGCTGCAGACCCTCTGATAAGAAGAGGTCAGTAACTCTCTGTTATTCTTGTAGCATTACATAAGAAGGGAAAGTGACACTGTGGGAAGTGGAAACTGCTCGAGTCCTGGAGTCATAAGACCTGATTTGAGTCCTGGCCATAACATTTCCAGGCCGTGTGACCTTGATCAAGTAGTTGAAAATCTTTGAGCCCCAATTTTCTCCTCTAAAAATTGGGAGCTTTTTCATACCAGTGTTGGGAATAGTTTTATTATTTCTGCTGTGAGGGATGTTATATACTGGGCTGTAAAGTTGCAACAAGGCCAAGAAGAGATTATGAATGAGTTTTTGGAGATTGCACCATGCTGTGAACTAACACATATATTCTCATCTCATCTCTGACTACTTTCCCTGTAGTTCACGAGGCCGTTGCCAGGCTGGCTTCTTTTAGTTTCTGCAACACATCCAGACATAACCCCATCCTTGGGCCTTCACACACTACCTGTTTCCTCTACCTGGAAGGTTCTTGCCCTGCTGCTCCTTCACTCATTCAGCTCTAACCCTAAATGCATCCTCATCAGGGAAGCATTCCCTAGCATCCTAGAACTCCTTCTGACAGAGTTTGGACGTGTGTCCCCCCCAAATCTCATGCAGAAATCTGATCCCCAATGTGGCAGTGTTGGGAACTGTTTGAGTCATGAAGGCAGATCCCTCATGAATGGATTAATGCTCTCCCTGGGGGATGGGAGTAGTGAGTGAGTTCTTGCTCTATTAGTTCCTGCAAGAGCTGATTGTTTAAAAGACCCTGTCACCTCCCCCCTCTCTCTCTCTTGCTCCCTCTCATCATGTGATCTGCTTGTACCTGCTGTCTGCCTGCCATTTTCCACCATGAGTAGACCTCTTTTCTTTATAAATTATCCAGTTTCAGGTATTCTGTTACAGCAGCACAAAACGGACTAATACACCCTCTTACATCACCTTGGTTCATTTTCTTCTTATCACTCTTTTCTAGCTGCTATTTTCATTTCTTTGTTGTCCCTCCCCCCCCCACCACCATTACCAGTTTTAGAATGTAAGCTCTACAAAAGCAAGGACTTTGTCTTACTCCCTGCTGTCTCCAATACCTAGAAGAGTACCTGTCACAAACTAGGTCCACAATATATATTTTTTTTATCAATAACATGTGCCACTCTATATCATAAGAAACTCATTGTGCATTGAAATTCTCTCTGAGTAATACAGAATGGTCATCACTAAATTAAGTCCCTTATATGATTTCATATAAAAGAACACGTAAATTTGTTTTTAAAAGAGTAATACTTCCTGTGTTTGTTAGCTTTAGAGCTGATATTCAATCAAGTTTCAAATCCCTTTGATTGTATTGCTACAAGATCTCTCATATAATTTCCCCTCTCTCCTTAAAAAAAGCCACTAACCCTCTTCAAGTCCCCATTTCATTTTAAGCCCAAACTCAAATGATTTTCTTGTCTTCATTCAGTCTTCCTCTCCCTCAGTCTGTCCTAGATAGTATTACTAGATCTATCACCTTAGAATCATTATAAGTTAAGCATTGGAGTAGAAACCAAAAATTTCTCCAATTATTTCATTTTCAAGATTATAAGCATTCCCACTTAAAAAAAAAAATCTTTGACATTTTCCAATAGCAAAATTTGTAAACCAAATCATTTTATACTTCAAGAGACATGGTATAGTCTAATCCTCTCATTTTACAAATGAGCAAATTGAGGCTATAGAGAGAAAATACATTGCTCATTGTCACAGAGCTGGTAAGTGGGAACTAAGATTTGAACCCAGAACAATATGTCTCCAGAACCTGGGGCTCTGTCATCCCCTACTAGGTAGTGATAGAGTTAGAAAGGAGTCAGGATTCCTAATCCATAGCCAGTGCCTCCTTTCTCTGTAGGCCAAACTTCCCATATAGGTTAAGATCCAAGCCCTCCACATGATGGCCTAACCTAGCTTTGCAAATTTTCTCCTTCCTTCCCTTGAATGTGGGTTCTGCTCTAGCCATCTATGACTGTTAGTAATTCCCCATACATATCCCATATT